GCGAGGTAAAGACTAGCCAACTCTGCATGAAACGTACCTAGCACCGGGAGGTGTACACGTCATGCACCCAATTATATACATATATACATACATACAATTTATACACACACATGCACTGAGATCTTTTGCACATACAGTTACACACATATACATGTACGCGCATACGTGCGTACCAGAGCAACCGACCTGCATGCTGGTATGCATGCCTGTCACTGTATGCATGCATGTACGAACGCACGGGTGTGCGAATGCACCCACCAAAACAAACACGAACGTTGCAATTTATCCAGCGGGTAAATGCATTGCTAACAGGAGGCTGCAGTAACTGACTGAAAGCACTGCACACCGGCAATTCTTCGCCTAGGCTCCATATTGTTACAAGAATGATAGAGGGCTTACCCATTTTCAAGCACGGTTTTATGCGGCTGTGCCCAATGTACAGGCGGCCTGTACAAATGCTTCAATTCGTTTGCTCAAGAAGTCTTTCCTGCCTCTTCTCTACGCAAGGATTTAATTTTGTGCAGGCAGTTCTGTGCAAACCTTTGGCAGGTTCAGGCGATGCCTACAGTTTTGCCAGGACTATATGCATATGTAAGCATGAAAAAATGTGCATATACATTTTGACAAACAACTAAATCCATACTACTTATACATATATATATATATAATAACATACGCACACATGCATTTGTGTGCCTCTGAGCCTGTGCATAAACGTGTACCCACATGCACAAACGAACATGTCACATCAGGCCCAGTGCCAATCAATATGCCCGTTAGCCCGGCGGCAGCACAGGATTTCCAGGCATTGAACTTGTCCGGTAAGTAGCCGGAAGTGTTCAGGGCTTCAAGCTCTTCCAGCTTCAAGCCCTCGAGGACATGCCTGTCATGAGCCAGCAAGGTGCCCTGCGGGCTCCTGAGTCTGAATTGGCCTTAATAGCACGTCATCTTCGGCGCCCCACTTCGTCAAGAGATGTGTAACCTCAGTCTGATGGCGTCTTGGCGTGAAAGGCACGGCGATACTGTATGCCTGAATGCACTAAGTCCGCCAGGAGCTTCGCACCACAAAGCATGCAGTGCTGCACGCAGTTTGTCAACCCATTGGAAACCGAATCCTCAACCGAGCTTGCAAAACCGTTCCAGCTCTGCTTGTGCCCACTTGGCCCTAAAAACTTTGGACGCTTCCACAGGACTTTTCACGGATCGTTGAAACACTCAGTCCACGTGGGAAGCCGACTCAAAAAAACGGAATGGCTGCAGAATGTGACTTGAATGTTTACGAACAGAACACCGCTCATCTCTGCTGTCGTGCTTCTACCCTTGACTCGCGTCTGCTGCTTGAGCTAGTAGACCTAAACGGAGGCACGCCTCTCGCAGGGACACGAACGGCGGACGGCAGCGGCAAGCGACACCACTTCAGAAGTGGTCAGCACGACCTATAGTAGCATGCATGGCTTTGTCGCGAGCACACACGAGCCTGCGGGAATACGCCCAGCACTGCACTAGAGCGGAAAGCAGAAACCGACCTGTTGGTTCAATGAGCGAGAAGCTGCTCAACGATTTGGACTTGGACTTCGGACTAGCATTGTGTTGTCTCGACACGGCTCCCAATTCCGAACATGCGTGCAGTGATCATGGTTTTGAGAAGCACCGACATCCTGACAGGCTGGGTCAGCTGGTCAGCATAATGGCTGCTGATGGGTCGAGCAACTGGTTTGTTGCAATGCCAAAGCCTGCAGTGGCACTGCCTGCTTTCTCCGTCTACTCTTTGGAGGAAAGACGCAGTCAGACACCGCGCACAACCTGCAGTTCCGAGCCAGCGGCATTTGCTTGCTCTGCGGGTCCGCATCTTTCTACAGTTTTCCGCTTCTTTATGGAGCCACCCTTGTTCTGAAACGCATCTTCATCCTCACCTGAGGCCACACACAAGCCAAATCTGATCTCTACCAAGCACTACTGAAACCAACCCTGCCAGAACATAGTGGGCAAGTGTCTTAGAAGCCGCTTCAGCTTCAAAGTACCGTGGATGGCGTCCTTGAGGTGTTCCTGAACTCCTGCTGCATGTGAGCTAGTTAGGAAGGGAGGAGCTACGGATTCAACACTTGCACATACTCGCCAAGAGAGCGGCCCAAATCCAAGAAAAGCCTTCATTGCTCACCCCCTTGCTAACAGCAAAAGCTACCTTCGTCGTCAACGCAGTCTTCATCTTCATTGTATTCTTCTTCTTCTTCATCATCCGCAGCATCGGGAGTCTCTGGCTCAACCATCTCTAGCTGCAACACAGTCTTGAGCCAGATTCCGCCGCGAAAGAATTCTGGCCAACGCCGGAACTGCTTGAACAATGAGCTCGCTGGCACAGTCAAGCTGCAGCTGGGTTTGAAGCAGAAGTCACTTCCTAAACTCCAGCCTGAGCTGCACGAAGCATCGAATGTGGAAGTGCTGCCACCTGACCCACGCCACGTCGTTTCTCCAAGGTCCCAGAGACCGGCGAGCCCAGGGCATGAGCCGAAAATGGAGACCGAAGACGGATTGGCTCCAAAAATCGAAGGACTCGGCTGCGCCTCGGCTTTGCATTGAACAAACTCGCACACGAAGCCTCGTTGTCACCTTACTCGGAGGAGCCGGACTGCAAACCTGGACCAACAAAATGCCTAGAAGCCAGTTGAAGTGGGTGGGAGTGGGAGTACTTGCAAGTCCTATCAACTCTGGCTTCTACCGTCACCCATAGCTCGTTTGCATCAGCATGTCTTGCTGTCGGGTGCGTCAGAACTCCTTGTCACTTAGTTGGATCGGCTACAGTCACGGAATCTACCTGCTCCTTCTTACGTCACATGCTAAGGACTTCTTTCAAGACTTTCCGCAAGCTCCGGGCCGTGGCAGCGGATGGTGCAGCAGGTGCTGCAGAACCGAAACCAAACCTGCAGGCGCAAGCACTTTGGATTAAAAGACTCTGACATTAGCATTCCTGGCTAGATATGCTCTGCAGAGCCACACAATGCCGGTTGCAGTCGAGCTCGAAGACCTCTCAAGCGGCTCCATTGACTTGCGCAGAGGTTCCTTCTTTCAATTTAATCCGAGGAACTGTGCGAAATTTCCACTCCCGCTGGACCTCAATGACAGAATGCCGTCCTTTCATTCGTCCCGATACATTCCACAGCCGAGGATCTGAGTTGTTCCCAGGAAGGCAGACACGGCACTCTGCCTGACAGAATTCTGGATTTTTTTCGACTCTCACACCTCGCACTAATTTCCGGCTGTTGAATGTCTGTTTTTTCTCCAATCATCAGAAATTGGAGTAAGGGCCCTGGCTTGCCCGACTCCTTCTCGGCCTTTGCTGCCGCAACCTCCGAAGTGAGGAACAACATGTGAATTCTCCAAGAGAGCCTGTGTGGTTTGTACCAGCGTGGCCGCGGCCTCGGACTCATATCCAGGCCGGACAATCTCGCAAACATTGCACTCCAAATCCTGCCATCGACAAATCCATTTTCGGGCTAAGTGCATATGCCGTGTTTATGCAAGCCTGTTCGGACCACTGCAATCGACAGCCGTCACAGCGCCAGCCAGAAGTTGCCTGAACCCACAAGACAGGACCTCTCGGGGCCATGGTCTCACAAGAGAGAGCTCTGTACAAAGCGCCTGCTTTGCAGGGCTAAGCCTGAGGCCAGCCGGCCTGCATCGCCGCAAGTGCCGCCAGACCTGGGCCCTCGCCCAAAGCGCCAGCTCCATAAGCATCTGCCTCGGCCTCTTTTGGGACTTAAGGAGAAGTGGCGATGAGCGTATGAGCCCTCCTTCGCAGGCATCTGCATCTTTGCACGAATCCCATTTTTGACACAGCGATGGCTTAGAAGTCGACTAGAGCTGGAGCTTGCGATGCTGAGCTCGAACGCCACACCGGGGCAGCTGAAGCCACCAACAAAAGGATCAATGTTAAGAGAGCCTGGGCCCTGGAGCTGAGCATGAAGCACGATGAGCCCCACTTCAGGGGACAAGCTGTACAAGTCCATCGAACCTCCTTGCATGGGCATGGGTGCACGCACAGGTCAAGGCCAAACGAGCAGGCGCCATCTGATGCCAGTCGGCAGGTTATCGCTCCAGTTGGGTGTTGTTGGCACTCCGCAAAGGCCAAAGTGTCTGAATCATAAGACCGACCTCGGAACCCGGTGATGCAGCCTGGCTTGCTGAAGCAGAATCCTGGGAGGTGGCATCGCAACGGCACGTTTTGCCGAACTTGTCGCGTCGATCACAAACTCGTGAAGAGTCCGTTTCGGTGGAGGGGACTCCAGCTATGGACAGAGGATAGTCTTGTAGCTGTCCTGTATCCATGAAGTGAGCCCACCAATTCTGCGCCCCTTGAAGCTTGTCACCCAATTTATATTCGCCGGCTTCATACGCCATGGATCCCAGGGCAGCAGCACCCCAACGCCAATCTACTTGTTCTGGCAGCGACCGCATGCAGGAAGCAACCGGTGGCAAGCTGGGGATTAGAATGACAGCTTCACGGACATCGGACTTTACGTTCGTCTGCAACCCGGTCGAATCGGAAACCCTGTGAGGCCGCTTCGGCAGAACTCGCTTTGCACTGGTCCGAGAAATTCCAGGCCACCCAGTCTCACCGGTCACGTCCGGCTTCCAGCGATAAACCCAAAACCCTTGATGGTCAAGGACCTTGATCTGAGCATGCTCATTGATTGCATCCTCTTCTCTTCGCTACATCTTTCGTCAAAAAATGTGAGCTACTACTTCTCAGGCACCGGCCACAGCAAAGACATATGGTGTGTTCTCAGCATTCTCGAAGCGATCGGTGCCACGATAGCCACCACCATGCCAAATATCTGCACCCTCAGCAGTCCATGGTCGGCAGCCCACTGCCAACGGGTTCTGCTCACAAAAGGATTGAAAGTTTTGAGGCTGTGAAAATCGTCTCGAATAGCCGTTGTCCTGTGCAGCTGTGCCTGGCATCGGCATGCATCCGCTAACCTGTGCTGTAGCCGTGACGTACAGCTGGTTAATATTGCCTGGCAAAGGATGTCCCCGCGGCACTGTTCCAATCAGACCCTCGATTGCATCGAACTCCCATTCCCAACAATTAGCATGCTCCCCAATCCCTTGTGTGTTAAGCGTCAGCTGTGACAGCATGTACAAGGTGCCGTAGTAGAAGCTATCGACACTCAGCACCCACAGTGCAGCCGGTGGGGTGAGGCCACGAGGGCCACTGTCACCAAGTCCCCATGGTGCATACTTGGTTGGCCAATCACCTTCGCCGCCCTCCCAGCGAAAGCGAGATTTGGTTGACTCCCACCCAGTCCTGGCATCGTATGAACCTGAAACTCCTGCCTCTGACAACTCCCCAGCTGTTGACGAATCTTGTAAGACGAAATGGCTGCCATTGAACTGGTATGCCTCGGCGGGAATTGTTCTGACAGCGTTGTGTTAGAAACACATGGCAGAAAATAACCGGACCTGTCTCCGATGCATGCAATCATGTCGGCACATGTTCGGGAGTGTGGTGCATTGTGGCCATAAGGGCTAAAATGAAGCAGCTGTGAAGGCAGAGAAACCTGCAAACGTTGGATTCAACAAATCCAACATAATCTAACATTGAATACTGTTGCGCCGGGTCCATGAGTGAAAAAGCTTTCAGCACTGAGTCAGACATCTTGCTCGTTGCTTACACTGCAGAGAGCTTACAGTAGGCACGTGCCTCCGTTCTTGATCCATCCTTCCTGGCTGCTTTCTCCTTCCTTCCTTTCCTTCCGTCCTTCATTCCTTCCTTTCTTCATTTTGTGTTGCTTCCTGTGACCAAGGCCCAGAATTGCTCAGCCGGAATTGGCAACAAATCGAGACAAACTGCCGAAAAGCCAGCAAGTTAATCCGGAACAGCAAAGCCCAGAAGCCAAGAAGCCGGAGAGTCGAAATTCTATCCCCTTTGTTTGCGATGATCCCAATTTTGGTGAGTACCTTTCGCAATGCCATTTTTGTGGGAATGAATTTTTGAGCCTGTGTTTTTTCTGCTTTTGTTTGGCTTGGGGGGGTCTCGTCAGCTTTTGTGCTTCTGCGCTTCCTCACTTCCGAGCACGAGCTGTCATTGTCTGCTTCCGCGCCTTTGCTTTTGCGCTTACCGGCCTTCTGCCGGTGTTTGCGTCTCGTTATCCTTGTTTTTGCTTCTGCTTTTGCTTTTCTGCTTCTCTGCTCTTCTGCTTCTCTGCTTTTTTGCTTCTCTGCTTGTCCGCTGCTCTGCTTTAACGCTTTGCTCTCGTGCTTTTCCGCTTTGCATTTGTCTGTTTTTTGCTTGTTCTTGCTTATGCTCTTGCTTCTCATCATCCTTAGTCCTCGTAATTCTAGTACCACTATAGTAATAAAATAACTCATAGTAACAATAACTGTTCTAAGAGAAATAGACACATATCTATATATATTATATACTCATGTTTACGCATGTTCATGTATGTATGTCTTTCCATATGTACGTATGTCATACACTGTCACAATGCGCAATGGGCGACAGCAGCATGTGTGTGTAATATATATATATATATATATACATATATACATATATATATATACATATATGTACGTATGCATACATGTATGACTATCTGCATATGTATGGTTAAATCTGCGGGCAGTCACGACTACGACTACGACTACTACTGCTACTGCTGCTGCTGCTGCTGCTACTACTACTACTGCTGCTACTGCTGCGACTGCTACTGCTACTGCTACTGCTACTGCTACTACTACTACTACTACTACTACTACTACTACTACTACTATTACGACTGCTACGACTGCTACGACTGCTACTGCTGCTACTGCTGCTACTGTTGCTACTGC